TATTTTATTGAGATCATGAATATGACTAATAGTTTTAATTAATCTCAGCTTATGTAGATATTTGCTGATTAGTTTCGTTTATAATCTAAATTAATGAGAAAAACGAACGAAATTTTTCACTTTGATTATAATCAATCACGAAATGATTATATCCACCTTGTTCGTTATTTTGTCGCAGTTCGGCATTATTGTAAGTATTTTTCGCTATTTCTTGTCGACCCTATTCTTCTACTAGACAGAATGAATCCATGAATATCCAATTACAATTTTGAAATAAGGATTTCTTTCGAGTTGGTTAGCAAAGAAATGATCGAACTTATGTTTGACCAATATATTAAGTCTTTAAAACAGGGTTTTTCTGTGACAATGAAACACGAAAAAGAATTTTTATAGATTGCATTTAACTAATGGTCTTCTACTATTAATGAACAAAATATGAAAACCAAGTACTGTAATAACTTGGATTGCTCTCTCATTTGACTTTCTTAGAGAATAGTCTAAATCTCCATAAATTTAGAGTCAAGTCGGTAGTTTCTATTGGTCAAAGCTAATTTCAATCATTTTACAAATTACCAATTCAGAAAAAAAACATGTTTTTTAAAAATGTGATTGGATACTTTGGATTCTCTCGATCAGGTTTTTCTTACTATAAGGTTATTCAAGCTACTTTAGCCTGTGTCAGAAGATTTTCTCTTCTCCTATTTTTCAAGCAGATATGTAAAGTTACTTGCATCATAAAGCTGACCAGTGTGTTAATGCATTCAAATTAAACTTTTGTCTTCTACTTATGTACATAAATGGTTCCTTCTGTGAACATGTTTTTATTTGGCTAGACCGAGCTTATTTGTGTCAAAATCATTTTTGTTTCTCTGCAATTTATATTCGTTGTTATTTTTCTTTGTTTCTCTAAAAAAACTGTTTAACAATGTTTGTTTCAATAAAATAGTAAAAGCACTACAAAACGAACACTGCTCTGATATTTATTTTCCTACTTATATGTCGATATCAAATTGCTTGCAACAAAATTTGAATACTGTTTACACAACATATACGCAAATCAGTTTTTATTTCTTCGCGATGAATCGTAGCAAAGAAATATACTTGGAAATATAAATTCATAAACTATGTATTACAGGGAATTTCCACTTTTCCAGCACTGTTGTTCAATGGTTCATCAAAAAATTTTGAAACTTTCAAGGCAGATAAGTCTCGATGATTGGAGTATATAATTTGTCATCGATTTTTTTTGTTTTCTTTTATCTTCATTTCGAATGAAACATCAAAATTCTGAGAACCCTCAAAAATGAATTTTTTTTTCGTAAACTCTGGCAAAAATCATTTAAAGTAGAACAAAGTTTTAGATCAATCAGGAGAATATTTTGAAGCGTATGCAAAGCAAAAAAAAATCTAGAAGTTTTCAGTAAGCAAACTGAATTTCCTCTTAAGTGAAGAAACATTAAATATAACAGTTGGGTCAGTAATTATTATTCCAATGGGATTTGATGAGCCGGTAAATAACAACAAAGTGTAAGGTGGAACAGTTAAGTGAACAATGAAGTTGCCTATGCTGAACATGAACTGACTAGAGTAAGATCATTTGTGAAAAATATGAGATTGTGTCACTGCAATCGCTAGAATCAAAAGAGAAAATGATAATCTCAACAAAAGCCTTCATATTGATTATGTAACATGATGACGTATAGTAAACTCCCCCCCAGAATAAAAGGCCATGGCCTTCTATTATGGAAATTCACATCGCTTCTGCAAAGAGGCCTTCTATTGTGGACTATTTTTTGCTAAGATTTACCTAAAAAACCAGGGGTTATCGGAAAAATTTTCTACCGTTCAAAAAGGCACATTTAGCGGCCAAGTTCCGTAAAACCAGTTTTCTTACTAGAAAAAAAGTAATTTTAGTTACAAAACCTTGGTTTTTTACTAAAAAACCGATATTTTAAGTACTAAAATATAAAAATCCACTGGATTTCTAAAAAAAATTTCTGGAAACTCCATGGCCTTCTATTATGCCTTGTGAGTTTTTTTCCTGGGGTGGCCTTCTAATGAGGGTGGCCTTCTAATATAGGGTGGCCTTGTATTCTGGGGAGGGGTTTACATTAGATACTGACTTGAGTGTCCATTATAAAGAAACATATTCTAACTTTCAACATTAAATACAAGGATAGATATAATCGAATCAATGAAACTGTCAGCTTTTCTTATTCTGAAGTTTCGGCAAGTAAACAATCTGATGTCTTATTTTATCAGCTGAAATAATTGTACCCTTAAAAGCTTACTTGCTATAAATAGATTGAAGAAAACAACAGATATTAACATTTAAAGAACTAAAATAACTTTCGTTTGTTACCTTTTTTTTCCTCAAAACTAAGTTTCATTGAAAGAAATTTTCATGTTACCAATAGTCCTATTTCTTTTTCATCAAGATACAAATGACGAATTTCCTGCATGTCTTACAGTTAGAATAAAATAGCAATATTTTAATTAAAATTGCAGATTAACAAGTGAACATTCGAAAGATACAAAAAGTATATTCATTTTCTTTAATCTATTCTAAAAGATATAATTCGAGGTATAAAATGTTTTCAAATTAATACCGTATAATAGCGACATCGATTGATACAATTATTTATCCCGTCAACATTGGGTCACACCTTCTATCACATGGCCATCTGTCTCGAGTTTCATTGATAGATATGCATTCATAATCATTGATTTATTCAATAATAATATGTTAATATATTCGCAATATCTTATTAAAAAATCTTCTTCAATTAGAACTTCTCTAAATTGTTGTTCTCAGAGTACAAATTCATCTCTTGCATCAATATTATTTCCAGAACCAAAACCAATCGATAAGAATGAAACTCCATCATCATCCTCAACAACAAAACAACAAGCTCAAAATGTTGTTAGTTCAGCAGCTGATGCAGCTGTTAATGTACTTGGTGTGGGTTGGGGTGCACTAAGTGCGGTTAGTAATCGTATAACAGGTTTGACCAGTTCATCATCTAAAGAATCAATTACAAATAAACAATTAGAATCAATCGTACGTGTGATTACACCTGAAAATCTTGAACAACGAACAAAATCTTTAATAGATTCAGTTAAAGCAGCATCATCAACATTATCACAAGCAACAAGAATTGAAGAACTTTCAAATTATCTTCTTCATCAACCTGATGCAAATTATTTTACAAAAAAGGTTTTAAAATAAATTAATATCATATAAATTTTTATTTTTATTTTTTTTTCTTAGCAACGTCTTGTACCATATTTATTATATTTACGTCGACAAGAATATCATAAACCTGCTATTGATAAAGCCTTTATTGGTATTATTAATGAATGTCTCACTTTAGCAAATTATGTTCAAGCCCCAAGAGGAAAAGGTATCCGATTATTATCCATTGATGGTGGTGGAATGAGGTGCGAAGTGAGTTTAATTTTATTTATATTCGAATATTGATTTCTTTTTTTTGTTCTAGAGGTCTTATTTCAATAAATGCACTTCGCCGCATTGAAGATCTTGTTGGTGAACCAATACATACAATGTTTGATTATATGTGTGGAGTATCAACGGGTGCTGTCATAATTGCAATGCTCGGTAGATTAGCATACTATACAAAAGAAATAGAAATATTTCTGACAGAACTAGATTTTGATTATTTGAACAAAACTGATGTCTATGATTAAAAAGAACAACGTTCTATCTGCTTGAGAAAACTTTTGTTCTAAATCAAGATCATATTTTCAAAGTCTCTTGAATTTTCTACAACGATGAGAACATTTTGAAATCATCAATTTGTTGATAAACATAAATTTAATTCTTTAGCTTATTGAAAATATTTGAAATAATTCAATTTATTTTATACTATTTATCATATTCTTATTTTGTTTTTATTTCTTAGGAGCATTTAAAGTCGATTTAAGTCAATGTGAAGAATTATACAAACATTTTAGTTCGACTGTTTTTCATCGAAATAAGGCATTGGGTATAAGTTCATTAATAACAAATCAATCATATTATGATACAAAAAGTTTTGAGAATTATTTAAGGTACGAAAATAATAGATTGTCAAAAAAAAATAGAGAAGAAACAAGAAACCGAATATAAAATGATTATTATTTTAGATCTCGAATGGGTGAACGGTTAATGTTAAAAAGTTCTCTTCACGCTGATTCACCAAAAGTAAATATACAAAAATTTTGTTTTTTCTTAAGAATAATTTCATAAGTTTTAGTTCAGCATAATATCTGCATTGACACTTCCAAATGGTTTCAAATTATTTTTATTCCGTAATTATTCTATATTAATGTCACCTCATACACATTATGATGGAACATCAAAATATAAAGTATGGGAAGCTGTACGTGCATCAACTTGTGCTCCAGGATATTTTGAAGAATATTTACTTGATGGAAATGTATTTCAAGTAAGAAAAATATTTACAAATTTATTTATTTAGAGATTAAAAAAGAATGTTTTATTTTTTTTTTGAAGGATGGTGGATTAATAGCAAATAATCCAACAAGTATTGCTTTACATGAATGTAAATTATTATGGCCTGATGAGGATATTCAATGTGTGGTATCATTAGGCAATGGTAGACCAGCACCTGATGTTGCATTTCAATCGAAATCAATGAGCTGTAAATATAAGTCTTATTTATTGAAAAAGAAAAATTTTTCTTGTCATCAGCGATTTTGTGAAACACAATCTAAAAGGAGTTTTGAAGTATAGAAAAAAAATTTGGATTCTCCTCACAGATCGTATATCAAGAATAACTTCTTTCTATGGATCTTTATAATAAGAAAAAGTGTATGTGTGCATAAAACTATGATCATCTTGAAAGGTTTAAGTATATTTCTACAGTCGATTTTTTTCGCGTAGCTAAAGAGTTTGATAACTATTATTCGTAATATACAGAAGACATTTGTTTAAAATTTATTTGAAGAAGTATCGTTATGTCAGACTAATTCGTAAATTTTTACGTATAATATTTAGAAACTAAAATTTTTTTTAATATTTCTAGTAAGACAAAAGTTATCATCCTTAGTCGATAGTGTTACAAATACGGAAACAATTCATGTTTGTTTACACGATCTTTTACCCACAAACATTTATTTTCGATTAAATCCATTTATGAGTTCAGATTTTGTTTTGGATGAACATCGACCAGAACGTCTCGAACAAATGTTACGTGATACTCAATCTTATACACGTCAAAATGAATATAAATTCCTTAAACTTACTCAACAATTAACAAAACTTCGATCACCATTTCGACGTTTCTTGGATAAATTAAAACAATTACTTCGCATATATACATAGATATATTTGTTTTGTTTATGTTGTATAAAAAAACAAATTGTTTAATAAATACAGTACCGTCATAAACCGTAGATGATTCTTAACATAAAAATCTATTTTCTTTTCTTTTCTTTCAGATGATTTCATCTTAGGAAGTTAGATAAAATGTTTTTAATAATATTCGGTGTATGTATTTGTACACTTATTATAATCGGCTGGAAATTAATTCTGTCATCGCAGCAAATAGATCAACAGCAGGTTTTTTAAAAATTCAGTTTTGTTTTGTATTTCATCTATATAACAACAATAATTGGATCTATTTCTATAGGATATATACAATAGTGTAGAACAGTCACAAAATTTAACACTATCTGTTGATGATGTCATTCGACATGATGATGATGATGATGAAGTACAATCGGTATTTGATTTTGATGTAGAATATTCATGAGATATATTCTTGTGTTATTCTTTTTCTTTATAGTCACCAACAAAGATTATCTGCGATACAAATGATAACAGTGTTGTTCGAAGTATTCTAGAATTTTTACCCGATGAAATCCTACTTGATATTATTAGTTATCTAAAACCATATGATATTTATCATAGTCTATATAAGTAAGTTGACTAATTTATTTTAAATACGTTGAAGATTTTCTAGAAATAATCTGCAATATAAATATGAAAATAATCTAGATTGAAATAGTTAAATCTAATGAATAAGACGGATTAATTAAAATGGTTTCTATTTAATGAATTTATGTGTGTTCTAGAGAGTTGTGGGTGTAGATTCATATTCAGATTTAATTTCATACAGCTTTTCGACTCTATATTGATTGTTTTCTAAGAAAAGTTAACAAATAGCTGAAATCTTAATTCTTCATTTGATCGTATTCACAGAGAATGCTAGATATTGATGAAAATAAAATCGCGTTTAGGTAAATACAAACCATGAAGCTACAGTTTATTTGACTTGGCGAATTTTTATCTATAGAAAAATAAAAAAAAAAATAAGAATCAGGACGATGTGGTATCTTAAGAATCATTCTTTATATCAAGTTTTCTTTGAATAAGATAAAAAAGATAAATGTTATACATTCTAGTCAGAGTTGGACAAGTATGAGCATTATATTCGTACTTGTGAGGATTGGTACTCGTTAGAGTCCGTTGAGTCCAAAATTTTCCAACTCGTCTCAATTCGATCGGCTCTTGTACTGATACTCGAGGAAACTTATACTTGCTCAGTTTTGAATGTATCCTTTTTTTTTAATAAGTATTAATTGTACTATACTTATATTTTATTCTAGTCTTAATAATCGTTTTAATTCAATAATCAATGATTTTCAACTTACATTACATTTGGATATATCATATATATCAAAATATGAATTTGATTATTGTCTTTCATCAATATTACCATTACCATCAGTTCTATTACGTCTTCATTCATTACATATATCAAATGATGAGACTTATGGTGCTATAGCATTATTTATACGTCAATATCCACATTTAAATATTCCATCACTTCGTTCACTTTCACTTACTGATGCAACAATAACACAAATAAAATTTCTTTTTCAAAGATTATCTATAGAACTTGAACATATATCAATAGTAACAAATCGAACAATAGATATGAATGATAAACGACAATTATGTCAATTATTATTAAAACATAAAGCACTTCGTTCGTGTCGTTTATCATTATGTGATGGTGTTGATTGTGATGAAACAATATTAAATAATTCAATAAATAATCAAATTGAAAACATCATTATTGATTTATCCTATTTTCAAAATATTCTTACACTTTTATCTTATATACCAAATGTAAAACAATTAACAATAAATATAAATCAACAAAAATATTATAATCAAGATTATGATGCAGCTGCATTTGATATTGTACGTTTATGTATTCCAACACAATTAACATATTTTAATTTAAATTTACGTTTTTCAAATGTTGAATTTGAACATATTGAACAATTATTAAATTGTTTAGTAAATTTAAAACATCTTTGTTGTTCATCATTTCGTGTTGAACTTGTATGTATAGAATTGAAGAAAAAAAAAAAAGAATATTTTTAATTTATTTATTTAAGGTCGATGGTTATCGATGGGCACAAGTACTTGAACGTCTACCATTATTACGTCGTTTTGAATGTGTTATGACAACATATATATATCATTCACTTGATTTAAATTTAATTTCTCAATCGTTTCAGACATTATTTTGGAAAGAAAAAAATTGGTCAGTTGTTTGTGATTATTTTCAATATCTTTCTCGATTAATTATTTATACAATACCTTTTTATAAAAATTTATTTACTTCAACATTAAATGGTTCTCAATCATTGAATGAATTTGATGATAGAAATGTTTTACCAAGTAATGCTTATGATAAAGTTACTCATCTTAAAGTATCTGTTCAAGGTATGAAAAAAAATTATGATTAATCATAGATAATTGATCTTGTAATACATAGTGTTTGACATGATGGAGTTTTTTTTTTTGAGACCCGACTAGAAGTCAACGATACTTTTTTTTTCGTGAATCTAAACAAATATTTGAAACGAAAGAAATTATTATCGTAACTAGAAATTGTTGTTTTTCTTATGTAAAGTTTGACATTAGTCAATGTATTGTTATTTGAGTCGAACTTTGGTAATTTCGTCTCTGTTTTTTCATATATGGGATAGTATAAAAATAGTTTATTTGCATAAGAGTAAATGAAAAATACTGTGTAGAATTATTGATGAATGTTTTCTCGATATAAAATTTTATAATAATTACTATTATTGAGTTTTCTATAGGAAATTGTTCCTATGGAATAACAGTGAAGACAACAAAGGCATTAGAAGAGTATGATGGTCTTGGATTGATTTTGAATTTTTCAGTCGACAGGCTACATTTCAAGAAAATAGATGAATTTATTAAAATAGACTAAAAGTTTTAGAAGTTCACAAATCCGAATCTGTAAAAAGTTTCTCGAGTTCGATTTTCTTGAAATAGACTTCACTCAAGCAAAAAAGTCGAAATAAATCTAAGATCATCGTAGTTTTATCATGCGTTCTCCAACTTCATCGTTGCTTCACTAATTGTAGATTAATTTAGTGTCGAAAGTATTCTCGATAAGACAATGTTGACAGTGTAGATTTTTTTTGTTTATGGCAATGGCAAAAAATAAAGTGAACATTTTTTAAAGAAAAGTACAAAAAATTAACGATTGAATTTGTTTTAACAAAAACTGCAGCTATTCGAATGTCTATTACTGATATAATTATAATCAGCTAGATTCTCAAATATTTCGTTTCACTTCTGAAGAAGCGATTTAGAGTTCCAAAAGAGTAAACATATAGTATATAGTACAATAACCATTAACTCTGGCAAGGTCAACTCAATATTTGAACAAGCGTCACCTTGCTTGATCCCCACGTTGGATAGAACATATTTTCTATCGAATCTAATAATAAAATTTATTATTTATCAATTTAACTTATACTTAACGTTATTTATTACTTTAGGATTACATTCAGATAGTATTCCAGTTCGTAAATTTCGTTATGTAACATCATTATCACTTTGTGATGGTGAATCATATAGTGATCATTCGAACAGTTCACTACTTTCTTATTTAACATCAACAATTGATTTAACAAAAATTCGTCATTTAAAACTATATTCTTTACTATCTGGTCATACACTATTTTCACTTTTATGTAAAGCACCAAATATAGATTGTTTAAGTTCATCATATCATAATCTTTTACAAATGATTAATGATTTTGGTGATGTTTGGTTATGTTGGTTATTAAATACAATGATTAAAAAATTAACATTATCATATGGTCGTTTAACATTATCAATAGTTGATCAATTTATTGAACTTTTTTCAAATATTGAACATTTATCATTATGTATGAATATGGATGATATTGATTTTCAAGAAATTCTATTAAAACTTCTACAAAATTTAACACATCTTTCATCAATTCGTATTAGTTTAGCTGGAAAATTAACAGATCATTTTCAATCACAAACATTTACATGGCTTTCAACGAATTCACAATTATATTCAGAATTTAATGATAATTTTCTTGATATATGGATTACATAGAAAAATTCACAAAAAATAGATAAAGATAAACTGTTGTATACTTGTTTAGTTATGTTTTTTTTGTTCTATTGTTATTTGCTAGTTTTGTTTTTGTTTTTTTTTTTTATATTTATTTCCATACATATCTGAATGCCATTTTGGACATAGATAAGAAATAAAAATAACGTTTTAGTGCATTTAATAAGTAAGCTTAGAAATTCTTTGATGAAAATATTGTCTTTGACGAGCATTCATCTGTACAATTTCTGTGGACATCTACACAATGAAAAAGATTGCCAAAGTTCTGATTTACAGATGAGTAGCAATGAAATGAAGTGGAAATATCAAAGAAACTTCATATCTTTGACAATTGATTCAATTTATCGTCGGAAATTCGTCAAATTGTCAAAAGTTAGATGGTGAAATTCCGGTTTACAACAGATTCATAAATAAATTAATGTCTGATTAAAAGATTATTCCAACCATAAAATGAAATAGTGCTTAGATTAGGGATATTCGTCACCTACGTTCTTCATAATCCAAGGTGAATCAATGTTTTTCTATTGTCAGTAGAATACTATAATGAGTTAGTCTTCTTGTTCAATACGTAACCAACCTTAACCATTAAATTACTTTGCAAAGGATATATTATATGTTAGTTCATTATTATATAAATAACAAATCATAATAGAAGTTTATTCCATAAGAACACATGCAACTTTGAAAAAAAAAGTCGTAGTTAAACTAAAAAGAGAAAGAGCACTTATGCTATTTACAGAGTCACTATATAATATTTCGAGGTTAAGTTGATTGTTGATAAATATATCCACATAATCATGCTTATCTTTTAATGAACATGATAAGTATATTTATAATTTGAATATTTTATTTCAATACAATTAAACACAACATTGATATTTAAAGAAAACAATGCCGGTTGTATTCTTACCAATGATGGAAGCATTCATTGCTCATTATGGAATGGTTATACTTTTTCTTTTTGGTAATATTGGTAATGTCTTTATAATCTTACTTTTTTATCAATATCGTAAAAATGCTTGGTCTATATATTTATCAAGTGGTACAATAATAAATATAATCTATCTTACATTTGATATCCCTATTTTTATCTATACATATTTTCATGATGAACCTATACCTTATTCATTAGTTTTTTGTAAATTACGTTTTTATTTATCACATGTATTCGGACAAATGGCTAGATATTTGTTTGTATTAGCATGTTTTGATCGATATATATTAACAAGTAGAAATTTTCATCTAAGAAATTTCAATCGATCAATTAATGCAAAATGTTCAATTTTATTGGTAATTATTTTTTGGTGCATTATTTGTAGTCATCAATTAATTTTTACAACAATGAATAATCAACAATGTGGCCAATTTGGAATATATCATATAATAAATAGTGTTTATTTATTTATTTCATTTTTAATTATTCCATCAGTTTTAATGATTATATTTGGATATTTAGCTTGTCATCAAATGAAACAATTTGGTTCAAAAATAAGACCATTAACAAATAATCAAAATGGACTTATTATTATTACTCGAAGAGACCGAGAATTATTATTGATGATATTAACTCAAATATTTATTTTTTGTTTAACTACGATATTTTATTTAGCTATTAGTTTAGAGTTATTAATAACAATTTCTAGAAATGAAAACAAATCTATTGAACGTATTCAAATAGAAAATTTTATTTTGATTTTATCAACATTTTTTATCTATATGAATCATGCTGCAGCATTTTATATTTATATGATTGTGTCAAAAGGATTTCGTCATGATTTTAAGAAGCTTTTAAAAAAATGTTGCAAGCAACCAATAACTGCTTCAGTTATAGAACAACGATAATATTCGATTCCATAATATTTTCAAAGTTGTAAATAAAAACTTGTGTACATTATGTTTCATTTTTATTTCATCTGTTCATTCTCTATCATTATAAAATAATCTTGTAGATATAATTAGTGTGTTATTACAATTAATAAAAATTGACAAAATAATTTCTAAGTTTCTATACTGCTCAAAGAGTCAAGGTTATTTTGCTTCATCGACAAAATAAAAGTACATCATGCATTGCCTCTGATGTCTTTAAATTTGAATTTGCATCGACACACGCTTTGCTTTTTCAATGATAAACATCGCTTTGGGTGAATAAATAATGCAAAACTATGAAAGTAGAACTATGATAAATCTTTTGTAATTTCTCTCGTTGCTTTTTGTGTACTCAAAAAGTGAGTACACTACTAAAATCGGTCAGTGTGTCCGTCCGTTTATCCGATAACTTTCGAAAGGAGAGTCGGATCGTGATGAAATTTTCTA